TGAAGACTTTCTGCTATCGTAACTGTGGAAACAATTGTAAAATAAAGTTATTACAATGCAACCTGCTTATAATGGGCTCAGCGGGACTGTGACAAATAATCTATTATATGCGGATGACCATCTTAAAATAAACACTTTTTTTTTAATGAAAAAGCAGCAGAAATAACATGATAAAAGCTTAAAATGTGTTTGTTTAATATGTATAAAGATACATACCAAAAAGTTATACGTAATTTTGTAATTTGCATTTTTTCAGAATCTGATACACATATTACAGGCATACGTACTGTGTAGGTATGTGTAAAAACAGTAAATTAATTGGTAAAAAGCTAGTAATTTTCATTTGAACAGATTGTTTTTTTGTATAATTATTTAGAACACCAAGTTGAATTAACCAAATTGGAGTCTGACAATTCCTGTGTTCCTATTAAATTATTGTCAACATTTACATACTCATTAAATTTGTCTATATTCACTATTAATTTTCAGTAAATCACTTAATAGAATTTCATATTCTGGATTAAATCGTTGACTATTTCAGTTATGTTTCTCACTAAACCAGGATGGCGAAAACAATTTTGAATCGTTTCTGGAGTAACCAATTCCAATGCAATAGTAAGCAAATTTACAACATCTAAAATGGTGACAGCTTAGGTAATGTGGACATCGTCTTGAAGCTCCATAACTTTCATCAACATATGTTTCCGATACATTTGCTTAAGACTCCAAATGACACCCTGGTCCATTGGTTGCAGAACTGATGTCACATTGGGTGGAAGAAATTGAATGTTGACGTTACTATGTGAAATATTTGGATAAGCGGAGAAGTTTTCGACCAAGAGCAAAATTTCACGATTTTTCTTAACAAGTCCCACGGCCTATTATCAATAGTTTCCGTTTTTCAGTACCTACCAGAAGCATTAGCACAAATCATAACAGTTATTCGCTCTTTTGATAGTTTCCCTCCATTGCAAGTTTCACCTTTTAATTTATGAGTTTTATCTGATAGCATTCTATAAAATATCCCGGTTTCATCTGCGTTGAATACGTTATCATCTGAATAAACACTGGATATTACGGGCCCAACGTGAGAAATCCAATCATTGGTAACGTTCTTGTCAACTGAAGCTTATGTCTTTTCTTAAACCTGTCTAGCCAACCGGAACTACATTTGAAGTAATCTCCAATCAATTTCCCAAATTCTTCAGCCTTTATTTGTAGCATAGGTCTACTTATTGGAAAACTATTAGTACGCGTTTGTTGAAACCATTTAAACAGCATATCATCGACTTGGGGATGCAGCGATAGCCGCATATTTTTCTTTTGACTATTTGATTTCCAGTCATTTTTAATTTTGTCACGGTTTTTCCAAATATTTGACACAGTGGATTTTTTTATAGCCATACGGGTACATATATTTGCTTGAGATGAACCCTGCTCAAGGTCACTAATTATTGTGAACTTTTCGTGTAAAGTGAATGTACGTTTCGCACTTTTCGACATGTTTATAACTCTAATAACTACAGTATAACACTGGTGGCGAAGTTCGAATGCAAACTGCGAAGCCAAACCGCAGTAAACGATTGCATCAGCTAAATCTGCTTCGGGGGAACTACCAAAATAGTTCGCATATAATGGATTAAAATATTCCGCTATAAGCGAGGGTCTATTTTAAGCGAGTCTATAATATCCGAGGATTTTACATGCAATTATTTATAGGACCTTATATTACGTCCACGGGTTTCCATTACAAGCAAGTTCATTATAAGTGGATTCCACTGTATTTCACCTTTATAGGTATTTTCCGGACAAACCTTGTATATGCCCCAGGCCTCACTGGTATTCGAGGTATGATAATTCGCCAGTTTGTACCGGGTGGCCCATTAATAAAAGACGCCGGTTGAAATTTTTGTACGGAAGCAGCCGCGCAGGCAGAAGCCTAAATACCAGGGAACCGCGGCTGATATGACGAACTTTGGTAATCCGATTTTTGTGCTGCTGAAGGTTAGTAGTAGTGGGAAAAGCTTCCTCCGGGATGTTTTTCTACATTCTCAATACGCTATGGACAATGGAGCGGTCGCATCGGCCGGTTCTGTTGGTACGAAATTCGACATGGTTAGGGTGGGAGTCTGAAGTTAGGCGGATCTGTCTGGCAGGCACATCGCGCGACGGCATCATGGGGGAGAGCCCGTTGACGTACGGGTGATCTGGACTACGACCAGCCAAAATAAACGGCTCTTTATCAGCACTTCGCCATCCATCGAAACCGGATGAGCGCTAGAACACTTCTTGTACAGTACTGGGCGACCAGTAAACCTAGTGCTATCGGTTAGAAAATGTGTAACAAAAGTAGCCAAGGAAAATTGCTGAAGATTACTTTTAGCTTCCTAAAGTAGCCGATAGGGGGTGTGTAACTCTAACATCAAAGTTGGAAATGCTATTTTTTCGAAAACTTCAAATGCAATTAAATTTCATTATTTAAAAGCGCATGAGAAATCCTACAAACTATACCCCATTCGTAGTCCATTTACGCCCTGACGGAACACAACATGCCCAAAAGCGAGACTGCACAGGTCCCGTATTTTCCTCAATGGTCTTGGAATAATCTAACAAAATGAATGAGTATTTTTATGAAAAGAAGTGCACATACTTTTCACAATTCCTTAATCCCCGGAACTACTTGAATCATCGTCCGAATGGTTAATATTAATTATTACAGGTTCAATTTGAATATCGATCATATTATCCAGATCCCACATCTTTGTTTCGATTGTCTCTTGAACGTGATGGATGCAATCTTTCCAATGGCTTGTCGTCACTCTGTTGACAGCTTCATAAAACAAATTTTTCACATCAGGATATTTGAATGTTCAAATTATTTTAATGGGATTTAATTCGCAGTGATAAGCGGTCTTATTTTGGTTATTAGCCATTTTGTCAATAACAATAAGATTATATAGGGTAATTCAAATTGGGTTTCCACATTAAAAGTAGTTAAAAAAAAGAAGAAATTGAAAATTATAAAAAGTATGTATTTGTCCTTTCAGGGCAGTTCATTACAATTATGCTTGAAAGATGATATCAAGTAAATGACCGCCGCGGCTCATGTGGCATGACGTAATCCGTTTCGAGAAATTTTCGACTACTCCGTGGCACAAATCAGGTCCTATGTTGGTAATTTCGCGTCTGATCTCCTGTTTCAGCTCCGCAATTGTGTTCGGGTTATTCTTGTAGACTTTGCTCTTGAAATGCCCCCGAAGAAAATAATCTAAGGGAGTTAAATCACAGGGTAGCGGCGGCCAATTGATATCGCCGTTACGTGAAATAACGCGACCTGGAAACTTGCCGCGCAGTAATTGTATCGTTTCTCCTGATGTGTGACCTAGGCTTCAATTCCTGTGTTATTTGGACTCTGTATGGGTGTAACTTCAAATCTTTTGTTAAAATCCGCTGTGTAGTGGAATACGTAAGGTCCAGTTGCTGCGATCGATGACGAATCGAGGTTCTTGGATTTTCGGCCAGACTTTCGACAACAATAGCAATATTTTGTTCCGACCGACCTCTAAAGCACGCCTAGGGGTTTTCTTGTTAGCGACGGATCCAGTTTGCTCGAATTTTTGCACCAAATTCCAACTGTCCTCTCACAAGGCCGATTTTGTGCGCCAAAAAATTCTCGTAAAGCACGAAATGTATTCTTCCTTGATCGGCCGTTTTCATTATAGGCTTGGATAATTTTAACACGTTGTTTGGTCGCATATTGCTTCATGACTGTTTTGTTTATATTTAGACGTTAGAAATGGCACGTTGTCGTTGACAAATTCAGTGGCGTTTCACAAAAAAATTATTTGTAATGAGGAAACTCAATTTGAATCACCCATTATTTATATTTGTGCTGTCTGACTAGATGGATAAGCTCTGCTTTGACTATATTTTTATTGAAACTAATGTCTTTGTTGAATTTCTGCCTTTCTTGTAGACATTGTGGGAATTTTCACATTATCAAGTACAATGACGGCATTGTCGTCAAGCTTTGGGAGCGTTTCTTCTAACCATCGTTCAAATGAACTCTTGTCCATTTCTTCATGGTATTCGGTCGTTTTCTTTGACTCAAATGCCCATAGGGCAGTAGGCACAACGCCATCTGCCAATGTGACAGATAGCAAATCGTTTTGCTTTTCCTGGAAATAATTATTTCATATAGTTTTCAAGAAATAATACAAGCAGAGTATCTAACAGATGTTGGTTCCAATTGCACCAGATATAGCTGAGCTTAGTGTAGCTAAGTTTTCACCATGGGCTCATAGATTCAGTCTATTTGACACCATTATTACAACACAAATGACGGCTTCTTTAGGCCAGTGGTTAGTCCATCTAAGAAGGCTTGTCTCGCTGATTTAATTGTAGTGTCAGCCCGTACTTTAGGCTTTGTATGTCCTGCATTTACCCAGGTTTCATCCAGCAATAAATCTTCCTGCCATGGTCGCGGTATTTCTTTATTGACTTTAAACAATTTCTTCTCCATAAAATAATCTCTTGGCTGTCCATCAAAATACTTCTGTCCCTTTTCTATACTCAAAATAAAGTTCTTTGAGTAAACTATACATCTCTATTAACCTCCTGTAATACTTTGTCTATGGTTCCTGCCTTTCAAAAAATTGATGGACTCTGCGTCTGATGGTATTCCGATCAGATTTATCAACTGTATCCAATAGCTTCAGCTAATGCAGCCTCTTGTGTGGTGGAGACAATTTTTAGTTTTTTTATTTTCTTTGAGAAAGGTGAAAATTGACTTAGGACGTAAGACTGTTTATGTTCGCCACACTTCGTTCAGTATCATGAATTTTCATTTCATAATAATATAATATAATTAAACATAATTTCTTTTGCCCGAATACTCAAATTTCCCTTCTTGTCACGTTTCGGGGAGGAGACATCACTGAAGAGGAAGCATGAAAAAATATTTCTGGTATCGCTAAAAAATTGGTATAATCCATTTGTAGGAACATCTTCTGAAGCTGGGACTACCACAAATGATACTTTATCAGGACGGAACAAACGAGTTTCTGTGAGAATTGTTCCTTCGAATTTATCTGTGATAACTAGAAAAGTAGAAAGACCTCAGTCCTAAAATATTACGCAGCTGTTAGTGGTGAGTGTTTCATTCTTTAAGAACATTACATGTAGCATTTTCATAGAGATCTTAAAGTGTAATGGCAATTTACGTAGTTTTAGTGCATACTTTTGACTCATTATAATATGTGGTTGAAAGATCTATCATTAAGTTTGTGCTGCTCTTTGCAAATTATGCATGAAGTACCATGTCCTGAAACCATCTAGCACCACAGTGATTTGGAAAACACAATACTTTTAAAAAATAATACTAATATACTTGTTCCTTCTACCTAGTCAGAATTCGTCGTTTGCCGCCGTTACAGTATTCCCCATCAATGCTTGTCATGTATTTGTGCAATCCTTTATTCTTGCATGTATCTTCCAATTTAATTTTTGCTTTTGAGTTTTGATTTTTCCTTCCACAAAAATTTGAAAACCTTGGAGATTTCAAAAACCACAATAGTGTTTGCAGTTTTTCCGTTTTTATTATTATAATGACGGAAATATTTTCTGAAAAAAGTCAAATAAGTTTTGTTAATCTGTACGGAAATTTTAAATTGGAAATAATGAATAATAAGTTCAGCATGTTTTTGGTCTGTATTGGTTTACCAGATATTGAACATTTGAAGCACAGCTTCGTTTCTGCGACAGCAAGCAGGGTAAGATTCAAAATTATTGAGAGCAACAGACCTAAGGAAAATAGGATTGTACAGGTGGATTACTCTAATTAATGATTTACCCTAACCGGTGTTCTTGCAAGTTTTCTCAAAAAAGAAAATCTAGCATGAGCTCCTTCGGCTTTTCGGTCAACAAGGCGTTCTGGCAATATTACGTAATTTGGAATAAAGAAGATATGCGTAATTTATTGCGTTACCAGTGACGTGTTTTACCGCACTATAATACGCGGAATACAGGTCACCCACTTAGTCATTTTGGATAATAAAAATCATTTTATTGGAATCATGATCATGAGTCACCTTCTTTTATCGGTCTGTGCTCATGTGCTAAGCCAACTATCTGCCAGCCATTGTTTTGTTCATTTCCCACTCGAGATTTTCCTGTAGCTGAAAAAAAAAAACAACCATCCTTATCTTCATAGACTGCACTGATGTAAGTTGTCTGAAAAATGCAGGCCGTAGAGTAATATTACTTATACAATGCCATTTTAGGATAGTATAGTCTGTGTTAAAAATAACTGACTTCAAACAACACATAGCTGGTACAAGCAACGGACAGCTTGTATGCAGCACAAAAAACTCATTTTAATATAAGATATGGTAATTTGACACTAAAAATCGCACTTACACGATGAGGATGCGGAAGTAGTTAGCAAATGGTGTCTGACATATTACTGACGGTTTTATGGTGACTGAAAAAATGCCACACCAAATAAATTGACGAATCAATAAAATAACAGTTGATTAAGTAGGCCACGTGATTTCAAACCCCACTGTACCTTTTTTCTCATCAAAAATGAAACAGTATGACGTCTTGCGCAGCCTACTACTTTAAAACCCATGTTTTGTTTGTTTAAGAACAAAATGCAGGCCTAGTGCCGCCTGTAACAGTCAAATGCGGATTCTTGCTTGAATGAAAGACTTCTTACAACCACAAAATATTAACTGAAAGAACGCTAACTCAGTGTAATTCAACCAGCAACACCAATGTCGCCATGTTGTCGTGGTGAAAGAACAAATATGACACAGAAAGGACGCCTGCCTACTCAGAACAATTCGACGAATGACATATGCCGCCATGTTTCTTACAATGACATACGGCGGTGCGCTCATGGTTGCCTACTTTCTCACCACATCTGTCACTCGTTGTCATCTTTATTTGGTTGTTTCGAATGGTTTTCCTAATAACAAAAATTAATTTTGCATTAGGAAAAACAATTCAAACACCTCACGTGCATTTGTGATTGGGTTCGTTCAAGAGTGATAAGTAAAACAATATAATTAGGAAAATAACTTTATTCTGGTAGATTACGTAATGTATATAGTGCAATGATGAATCAGAAAGCCCCATGGGAGGTTTCTGAATAATAATTCGAATATACGATCATAGGAAACTACATCAACCCATGATACCACACGCAACAAAAATTCAATAACAAAAATATTGTGAAATCTGTATGTAAAGGGTACAAGATTTCGTTAATGAAACATAACATTATAGTTCTGAATAAACATTAATTTGCAAAATTTCACATTTATTTTACATGAGTAAAGCCGGTATGTATATGGTACAGGCCATATATAGTAATTTAATAACATAAAATTCCAAAAAATAAAATAAAATACAATTCTATCACAATATGGTAAAAATGTCCTGGTCAGGTATGTCACAGCCGGGTTTGTGATGGAGGTACATGAAATTATTAAAGAACCAGCAGCAAATATTTGAAAATGATTTACCTGGTGGCATTCAACTTTTTCATTTTCCTTGAATGACCATCAGATGTTTCAAGACGTCTTTTCAAAGAATTTTTATGTTTAATATACTAGAAGATTGTCAGTCTGATGCATTTGTTAATGATATTTTTGAGGTCATCATGAAAATTGCCAGGCTGAAAATGTTCAAGCAGTTGTGTCAGACCTGTTTTGAAGGAGGCTTGACCATTAAGCAAATGGGCAAACTTATCAAAAAAAACTGTACAGTTTTACATGGATAACATCTAGTAGATGACTTAGTTTGTCATTTGCGTATGTCAGCCTCTGCTTGTTGTCCTGTTGAAATGAACATACAACTGTAATGGGATCAACTCATCAGAGAACAGTGCTTCCCCACATAGGGCATTGGGGGATGTCAACATCACTTTATGTTGCGGTAAATTTGATACATTTTAGATTCCCTTTCTGTTAACTGACTTTTACTTACTTCTTATTGTGTAAGGCATGATCTCGAAGTGTCTGACAGAAATGTGTATTTATCTTGATAATAAGTCTGTACCACAAAAATCTGGCTTAGAATAGCAGTGATCGTGTTTGTACTTGCATCTGTCAAGTGTTTGGTACTTCTTTTGGCAGGCAATTTACATGGCTTGCTGCCGAAGTTGAAGGAGAATCACAAATGCTTGCTGAGAAACCAACAGAGCATTCCTTCAATGAAACTGCAATATCAGAATGACTAATCCACAGGCATTGTATCATAATTGCCTTTGACTGGGATTTTTTGGGAATCGATGAAATTTCTTGGATGGGGGATATGAATGACTTACATTCAATTATGTATTTATTTTGGCAATAAGGATATAGGCACTGTCGTGTCTATTTCTTGCTTGTTTCTGCCATAGTAGTATCAAAAAGATTTAAGTGAAACATAATAAATGCGCTGAGCAACTTCACAATATTATCAGAATCAATGTCATGTAGGTACTCACCTGTATTAACCCACTCCATTCTTGAAACATGGGTGACAGAAACTGGAACTGAAAATATTGGAAATCATTTCTTGAAACACACAATTTATAAAAAAATAATGTAGGCACAGAGGAACCGAGTGGAGTGGGAAAATTTCACTCAGGTTTTTTTTTCAAGGTGGGCATAAACGCTTGCTTAATTAAGGGTTTGATGACATACTCTAAATTCCAATAAAAATCAAAAGTAAAACTGCTCTATTTCATTATCACATCTTACCTATATTAATTATTTCGAAGCAGAATTGTTCCAAGCCACTCCACACGTCGGCACATTTTTAGCGGTAAAGGAAAAATGGCAGCTTGACAGCGGTGACGTTGAAGAAAGACGTATGAAAGACAAGTGACACTATCAAGACAAGTGACACTATCAATATTGACAGTGTTGCCGGCCGTTTTTTTCACCACGAAAGACGTTGCCAGATTTCCTGTATAGCGTACCGGCCTGCAATGAAGCTGGCCTTGCGGTTTTCCTTACCGACTACTATCAACCAATACCAGTCGACTTCTCCGAACCAATCACAACTGCGCAGTTAGACGCGATCGTGCCAAGGTCGGTTTGTGCGTCTATCCTCAATTTCTGCCAAAAAAACTCGTCAGAAATCCACGTAAACCCATTTACATCTTTCATTCTCTGGTGCGCCGTCCATCCGAAAACTACTAGTAGCTGTTTTGTGCATGCATTTGCTCGCGGAATTTAATATTTGTATGCCTGTTAGCGCTTATGACGCGGTCCCGTTACCAGGTTATGTTCCAACCGAAGCAGAGCAACGTGAACAGCAGCGTGGTCGAGAGGAAAATTTGGAAAATAGCTTTAACAGTCTATCGATAAGAGAGCCCACCTTACTTCAGCTTCATCGTCAGCCTGTTACAGCCAGGGAAATCGTACTCAGTCGATGTCAACAGGCAGAGCCATGGAAATTTTGGATTGTTACCCAGACAGGTGAGTACTAAAATGGTGCTGACTAATTCAGAAGTAGTAGTAACAGCTATGCGTGTGTGCTTGTACTTCGCCAAGTAAGCTGCAATGTATTTGGTTGTGCATAGCGGTAATTTTCCATGCAATTCTGTGATTTGGAAGAGGATCAGCAGACGCCTTGTTTTTGTGTAAATAGAGCAGTCAATTTAGTGTCATAATGCACCTCTCGGTGTCCATTTTTTGCGCTTCAGACGCTTCCTTGTTTTTCCGGTTGTAAATTCTAAAAGTAGCGTACTTTCTTTTTCATGTAATCTTGCAATTTGGAAGTATGACTTTAGGAATGCAAATTGTCTTCAAAATATCTGAAGAGCTAAAAACAAATCTAGCCCAGATTTGAGTAGCTGGATATAAAGGCTTCGGTAAATGTCTAGCTTAGCTTCACAAGCAGTTTTTGATGGAAAAATAATTTCAGTCCCTACTTTTTTGGGTGTAGATGAAAGAAAAGGGACTGAAAATATGACAGTTCTGAAATATTTCGATAAACAATAGGCTTAATGAGTGTTTGTTTCCATATGTGGTGTGATGTTCCCAGATTTCATTACTCAAGAAGTTACCATGTTGATGAATGTTTCTAATAATTAAATTTTTATGTATGACTTTGAACGTACAGCCCTACATATAGTCAAATACACTATCAGCACAACTCCAAGAGGAAGAAATTCTAGAGTAAAAAAGCATGTGGAAATGCATATTTTCCTAAATTTTTGTATATTTCTTCCATATGGCAACATCGCTATATGTATATGATGCATTCCATTCTGCAAATGTGAGTTTCAAGGTGTTTATACCTTTTTAAACCCAGATATCAGCAATATTCTTCAACTAACCCATTTGTAGGCATTTTTAATCTCATTTACAACTGAAACCCAGTGACTATTTTGATGGAATAAGACTGGTATAGCTAAGCTAGTCAATTACCCTGGGCTTATGCAAACCATAACAAGGGTCCTGTTGTTAGTTGCACCCATTTGTTTTCCTGCTTTGAAGGACTCCTTCTTTGGCCATAGCCTCCCTATTTTTCTTCCAGTTTTTTCTCTCCTTCAGGCACATTTAAAAAAAGATAAAAACTGAAGGAAAAACAGGGAGGCCTAAGCCAAATAAGGCATCCTTCAAAGTAAAAAAGGAAAATAGGAGCAACTGAAAACATGACCCTTAGAACTGAAAGGAGAAAAGGTCTGCATGAATTTGGCGTGGCCATTTTGAAGGAGAAAAATCAAGCTCTTTATTGGAAACTAAGTATAGAATCAATAAAAAATGACAAGTTGAATGAAAAAAAGGAATCATGTACCAGTTTCTATATCATATTTTTGAGTGTTTTAGAGAAGAAATATTGTTCATAGAATCATATTTGTCCTGATATCTTTATCACCAGTTTGTATAATGTCAACAACTTATTTGTTTGAATTATTGTCTTAACCTATTATATTATCAAAATAAACTGGCCTGGATCTTTATATAGTGATGCATTCCTTGTGTACATATATCATTCATTTTCATCAAGTATATATTTCCAACACATTGTATTTTATTGTGAATTTTGTAAAAATGCATCTCCAGGTCTGTACAAATGTTTCTGCTGACCTCTAACATGACCTAGATAAACACCTTAGATGTCAACCTCTTAAGTTCAAATAGCATCTAAGATCTTTGATAGTACGTTCAAATACAAATTTCAAATTACGATGAGCTGATGTCATATATGAAAATTGATTCTTTTGTAGAATCTCATGCTGATTCCAGATCTGCTGTTAAAAATGGTGGTTACTATTTAAATTTACAAAGTGAATATGTTCATTTTTTCATCTCCTGAGGCTTTTGTAAAAATCTTTTTTCAAAAGATTGTGTGGTGGTCAAGTTTCTAGACAGTTTGTGTACTTTTTAAACATCACAACTTGACAGACAGGTTTTGACCATTTATGATGGTCTGACCTGAAGTATGAAAATTGATTTCTGTGTAGAATCTTATGCTGATTACATATCTGTTATCAAAATGGTGCTTGCTATTTGACAAATCCTTAGGTGAATGAACTATCCAAGATCTTAGTTGCTATATTTGAAGTTAAGAGGTTGACCAAATTACCTGAGGTCATATTAGAGGTCACCAATAAATCCCTTTTTTAATTTCCTCAAACTTTTGTAGGCACATTTTTTCAGGTGTTTGGATATTTAATAGATTTACATTATCCCAGTAAAATCATAATAAATATTATGTAGCTCATTATATTGAAGGTTGCAAGAAAATTCTCATAAGGAAATACAAATAAATTTAATAATATTATTGCTTTTCTAATTTTGCCTCTAGCCATATGGTGAAAGTGAAAGCCATGAAATGTAATCATGCTACTTGAAATGGATGTGCACAGTAACAATTATTCATGACCTTGTTTCTGTATCTTATTAATTACATTGTTTCACTTATATAATTTCACTACATAAATTTTTATATAATCATCACCAACATAGGAAGTATTATGGCAATAAACGATTATGCTGTGTTTTTTGTCATTTTTTAATGGTCCATAATGTCTGAAATTCTTTTTTCTCAGAACTGTTAGGAAATATTAATAGAGAAATAATACCAACTTACCTAATTTTAAAAATGTCATGCTTTAATAGCTGAACCATCACCAGTATAGTTATTCTATTATCTGTGGTACTATTGACTGAGAGCGAAAGAGTGAGTCTTGGTTATTTAGATTATTAGGTATTTGAATCTAGCAGAAATCAGATAGATTAGATAGATTTTTGAAAGAGTTCTTGTTTCAGTGTTCTGCAACACTGTCAGAAAATTGGAGAAGGGGTTTATGGAGAGGTATATCTCCTCAGAAACCCCAAAGGTGGCACTTCAGTATTGAAGATCATTCCAATAGAAGGCAGCCTCATGGTTAATGGAGAAAGGCAGAAGAAATATGAGGAAATTCTATCTGAAATAATAATCTCAATGTGAGTATTAATTCTGAATATTCAATACATATTGGATGTAGTATTGTACAGTTATAGTGTTTGCATGTTTAACTGCTCTTATTGATCTTTTTTATCATTTTCAGGGAACTGAGCAACCTCAGAAAAAATCCTGTGAATTCGACAAGTGGTTTTACTGAACTCCAAGAGGTGAAGTGTGTTCAAGGCTGCTATCCTGAAAGGCTAATTGATCTGTGGCATCTGTATGATGAGACAAAAGGCAGCGAGAATGATTGTCCAGATTGTTTCCTAGATGATCAACTTTACATCATTCTGCAACTAGCTGATGCTGGGAAGGATTTAGAGTCCTTTGTCTTTGCCAATGCACAACAAGCCTTGGCGATGTTCAAACAGGTGAGAATCTGTTATTTGTTGCCATGTTTTGACATCTTGAACTATTGGAGTGTGACTGGACTGATGATAACATAACCTGCTTGCTGAATGTGGTGCTTTAGGCCCGTATCGGCAGTCGTCCCTACAATTGTAGGGCGCGTTTATGGCCTCCTTGATTGTCATACTCCTTTCTCTCCTTCAAAAATTTCTATATTACACTTGTCCCGTGTCAGCGTCAGCGCTCTCCTATTGTAGGAAATTTCAGGCTGATAAAACATGATATAACTCAAAAGCAAGCACAATTTGATGCAAATAGATGTTTGTGACATAACCTCAAAATAGAGTTCTGACACGGAGAAGTAGAAAACTATGACAATCATGGAGGCCATAAAGGCGCCCTACAATTGTAGGGACGACTGACGATACGGGCCTAAGTCCTACACTTTTTTGTCAACTATATAGGGTGTCCCAGAAGTCAATATCAAGCTGGAAAATTTTCAAGGCCTATAATTTGAAAAATATATGGCTTAGGTCTTTTTATATTTTTCTGCTAGCTACTTTAAATCTGTGAAAACATTCAAATGATTTTTATATATTGCATTGTTGTCATTGCAGGTGGCTTTTGCATTAGCTGTGGCAGAAGAAGAACTACATTTCGAGCACAGAGATCTGCATTGGGGCAACATCCTATTGAAACAAGTTGATAAGAGCACCAAGATCAGATTCACGTTAAACGGGAACACCTATATCGTGCCGACTAAAGGCATTCAAGCAACCATCATTGACTTCACCCTGTCCAGAGTTGAACATGATGGCGTTGTTATATTTAACGACCTCAGTTTGGATCCAGATCTGTTCACTGCTGAGGGTGATTATCAGTTTGATATATATAGGCTGATGCAGAAGGAGAATGGGTGAGTTTTAAGTTTGATACAATATCGATTTATGCCTGATTTAAGACAGTGAACTGAAATCAATCTCCTAAAGTGAGCTGGTCATCACTGGTTAATAATGAGTCAGATACAGCACATGACTGATCGGTGTTATTGATCTCCATTCAATGTTTTCTAGCTGTTGAGGTCGATTTAATTGATGAAACTCTCAAAAATAGGTGTTCACAGTTATAAACATTTCATACAGTAGCAGAAGTTTGGAAACATTCTAATTTTTAAAAAGTGTGCTAATTTTTTATTCTTTATTATTAAGGACTATTTCTTTTCTCATATAGTTTGCTTACAGTCTTGAGGATACAAATGACAATTTGTGTTTGCTGTGGTACTACAGAGCAGCATTAAAATGCCTTCATATTATTTTATGACAAAAAATGAGACGACAAACGCATGGAAACATATTTTTTATTACAAAATTAAATACAATAACTCTAGCAAACGATTGAAAAAAATACTGTTTAGCTAATATTTGGTAGCATAGACGTTAGCATTCAACACTGCCTGACATCTGCTGCTCATAGAAGAAACCAATTTTTTACAGAAGTCTGTTGGGATATTTTGCCAAATATTTTTTACATAATCAAATAAATCGTTTTTCTTGTCTTTTAACATGCTCCTAGAAATGTTCTATAGCAGGGCTTAAGAGGGTGCTTGCGCGGGTGCATTGCATGGTGCTTGGTGCAAATCAGCCGCGGTCGAGTGCGAATCCCTCTCCACTCTCCACATTTTCGCGCCGCTGTCTCTCTGTCTCCTTGCAATCTGTTTTCTGTTCTCCTCCTCACTACCTCGTACTACTTGCCCTGCAGGGCGCGCAGAAACGGATTCTTTCGAGCGGGACCCTACCCGGTCCAACCGAGTAACTCCGACCGCACCCGAGCCGACACGATGCACTGCGCACACCGCTGTTGCACCTGGCTTTGCACGGATGCGCTGGATCGCTTTTGTTAAGCCCTGTTCTATAGGGTTTAGGTCCGGGGATTGCGAAGGCCATGTAAGAACATTAACATTTTTAGTCTTAACCAGTCCTTTACGAATTTTGAGGTATGTTTGGGATCATTATCTTGCCTGAATGTCCATCGAAAAGGCATTTTTTCTTCAGCAGGGAGCATGCATTCACTAAGAATATCTTTGTAAAGTTTTTGATCCATTTTCCCAACAATTTTAACAATTGTATCCGTTCCAGAAGTAGAAAAACAGCCCCAAACCCTGATATTGCCTCACCGTGCTTAACTGTTGGCAACTGATACTTTTTGTCGAATCTTTTTCGTATTCGACGTCTCACATATGCCGTATCGTCAGATCCAAACAAGTTGAACTTGCTTTCATCGCTCCATAAAACTGTATTCCATTGTTGTTTTGTCCAAGTCTGATGAGTTTTAGCAAATTCAAACCGAGCAATACGATTTTTTTTAAATGAGAGGCTTTTGTACTGGATGCCTACCAAAATGCCCAAAATTCACCAAGGGTCTCTGCACTGTTCTGACAGAAACATTCTCGGCACCCTCTTCTACGATTTATTTGAAAATCTGGGTGGCTGGCATTCGAGGATCTTCATGGGACAAACGTTTAATGTAGCGATCCAAAACATAATCTGTTTTTTGTCGGTCTTCCGCACCTGGGCCGCGTTGCTGTTGATCCGTATTCTTGATATTCGTTCCTTTGTTCATTTTCAATCGTTGAGAATATCAACATTTCTGACACCACTTCCAAATAATTCAATTACTTTGTCTCTTAATTCTTTTGAAAATTCTTTTACTTTTGCTATTCTCACTGCTTTTAATATTTACCGAACGCAATATCAGTATCGTAGAACGAGTAAATACGGAAAAACTGAAATGTTTCCATACTTTTGTCGTTACAAAAACTGGTATTTAAAAAATGCGTGTTTTTATTTTCAGAGAATTTGAATATTGATGAGATAAACCTTGTATATATTAATACGAGAGCCAAAGGTAGACTTTAATATTTATATTATCTGTTCCTTCACAATTCTAATTTAGGTATATGAAATAGTTCATAATAATGTTAATATTTGTTTTTAAACTTTTGTCCGCTACTGTATTTCAAAATTCCACAAATGACACATAATGCTGCGGATCCGTCAATGCTAGCTAGATATAGCTTTATGTTGTTTCGGTTTTGTGCACGCTACGAATTTGTTTTGTACTTGCTAACAACTCTTTTATTTAGAAAAGTGCATCACATTACAAAAAAAACGCAACAAGCAAGTGTTGCTACATTTACACCCGATTCATTATTCCCAACATTACGAGAGATGTCTTTTAAGTTTTGCATATGGAAATAAAACAACACGGTAGGGAGTTTTAAATGACTATTGTTTTTGGAAGTATTCTCCACGAAGATTAATACACATCTGCATGCGCTCGAACCAATTTTCGAAGCACTTATTCCACTCGTTTGCTGGCAGATCCAAAACGGCATTTTTGAATGCGTCAACTGCTGCTTCTGGTGACTGGATCCTTTGACCACGCAGTCTGTTTTTAATTTTCGGGAAAGTAAAGAAATCGTTAGGATCGTGACTATATGGAGGAAGGTCCAATAATTTTACGTTTTCTTCCGTTAAATACTGCCTCGTTTTTGGGGCTGTGTGCGAGCTTGCATTGTCTTGGTGGAGGCTGATTCTTTTTTCGGGGTTGATTTTTCGAAGCTCGGTGATGACTTTTGGCAAACAAATGGTGGTATACCAATCTACAGTAACAGTTCTTTGCTCATTAAGAGGAATTGTTGCAATATGACCCGCTTTTGACACAAATGTCGCGACCATCTTTTTCGAAACACTTCGAGAACGGATGACTTTTGTTGGCTTCTCTTCACCTAGGAACACCCAAACAGCCGACTGTCGTTTATTTTCTGGTTCATAACAGTAAATCCACGATTCATCACCGCTAACAATGCCGTACACATTTTTTTAGTTTCCGGAAATGAAACGGTCAAGCGTTTTTTGACACCAATTAACCCTGGCTGCTTTTTGCTCGTCAGTCAACAGGTGGAGTATCCAACGACAAACTAATTTTGTTACTCCTAATTCTTCATGTAAAATTTCTTGAATTGAGGTCTTTGAGATCTTCAAGGACGCCTCAATCTCGCGATATGTCACATGTCTATCTTCAATGATGAGTTCGTGCACAGCATCGACGTTTTCCTGGGTGACTGCCGTTTTTGGTGCACCCACCCTGGGATCGTCGCTAAGACTCACCCGTCCATGTTTGAATTCTCCATACCAATGGGAAATTGTCGACTGATGTGGCGCTTCGTTGCCGAAAACAGACAGTAACTCAGCAAGGCATTCTTGTTGCGATAATTGTCTGTGAAAGTTGTAATAAATTATGGCGCGAAACTGTTCTCGGTTGAGTTCCATTTTTCTAATGACTTGGTGACACTTAAAAATTCACTGTAGTGAGAACACTGCACGTATTGTTGTGAAACTTTGAATTTAAGTTTACCAAAGAGTGAGGTTAAGATTTAGTACTGGCGTTCGATCCGCGCGTCCTACTATGTTTCTATATGCAAAACTTAAAAGACGTCCCTCGTACAGACTAATACAAAGATGTCTCCTACTGATCAACTGTTCACCTCAGTAGACGTTAAAATTGTGATTGGACACCGGTGATATAGGGTTTACCGACACCGTGACTGACCTGTTACTAATCTATAAAAAGAAAAAAAGGGGTTTAATTCTTAAAAATATAGCTTTTTTTCAAAATTTTCTCTCTACTGTTATATCAATTGTATCAGATTTGGTCCATGCTTAGAGTAGGACCAAATTGCTTATTTTTGATTCCTCGAATTTGCGACTATATAAATCAAACTCTTCTTTTTGATTGGTGAAAATTGTGACTGGGTGATATATGAAGTATTTATTGATTTAATATGAGAATCGTATCATTTTTCTCTAATTTGAGAGACATTTTACAAGAAATCGGACATTACTTCAAAAACGCATTCTCGTTGGTTGAGTGCCTTTAGCGCAAATTTTGAGCGCTGGATTAGTAAAATCGGGCCGCAACTGCAGAGACTTGTGTAAGTCTAACTAAATATGGTCTTTTTCCAGAAATAATTGGCAGAGTTTTGTACCTCATACGAATTTGTTGTGGTTACACTACATATTGGACAAATCAATAACATTATTACGCTACAAAAATCCAACAAGGAAGCTGCACAAAGAATACATCATTAAGCTCAAGGAACTTGAAGACGTCGTGTTGAGCTGCAGAAGCGTCAAGGATTTTGTGTTGCATTGTTTAACATAAGCAAATAAGCATATACACGAGTAGGTAATGCAAATAATAGTATACTACTTCACCTACAAAATGATACTGTTTGATATGGATGTTGAACAATGCATGAATATATGTATATCTTATTTTCCCTTTGAGGACATTCACTGATAAGACGATTATTGTATGAAATCAACAAACATACCTAACCTTAGCTTGAGGCAAAAACATTCGTTATGTACTAAAAGAATATTCTTTGTCTGAAGCTAAACATCTCTTTATTGTTTTGTTGTTTTTATTATTTATTTATTTCATTTTGCGTGTAATTACATTGAGTTAAAAGTTGTACGAGTCGTTTTATTCCTTTTCTTGAGTAGTCTGATAGCGTCTTACTTTGGTAACCAATTGGGTGAAATAAATATGTCAGTTTACAAGGAACCGTTCGATTCCTACATTTGTGACAAAAGATTCTTGATGATTTTCTATGAAATGACATCTTGATCAACTCCCTGTTCAGCCAGTATTGTTTACAAAAGGTGAGGTGACGTTGTAGTTTTTTTTCATAGTCATGCTGATCAGATTCATCAGCTACGTTTTATGCAGTTAGATTGATATATTGAAAGATGCATATTTATTTTGATAATGCTTTTTGTTTGCAGATTTTTACAGATACTGCCATTATTTACGTTTTGTGCGAATTTTTAATCGTAGGTTTAGTAAGAGATGGGCGCGTAGTATTACTCTGATTATGTTTAGGAGTGTAGGCCACTGGCGTATCCAGAAACATTTTTTGGATGGAGGGGTTGAGGGCGGATCCATCCTTTGAGTGAGGGAAGTCATAGTCACACTATTATACAGGGCGGTTGATATGTAACTGACTGGTTTGTATCTTGAATATTTGTGAAATGAAATAAAGTACGTCCATTTTTTCATTTTAATATTTTATTGAAACTTAGAAATTATGTATAAAAAATAATATCAGACAAATGTCCGCATCTAGAAGCCGCGTAAATCTGAGCCCTCTTGATTCCATTTTCAATCACTTGCTGGTAGGTTTTGGCAGGAATATTTTTAATCGCTTCCGTAATATTGTTCTTCAACTGCTCTACAGAATTTGGTTTGTTGGCATAAACCATATTTTTCAAAAATCCCGATAAAAAAGTCAGGAGCCGTTAAATCCGGTGGCCTTGGTGGCCAGTTGACATCACCAAATCGAGAAATTAAACGTCCCGGAAATATTGTTCGCAACAGATACATTGTCTCTGTAGCTGTGTGACAAGTTGCTCCGTCCTGCTGGAACCACATTTTTTGCAGGTTAACACTCTGACTGCCGGCATACTATTTTATTCTTGTTTTATTTTGTGCTGTCACTCGTTTATGACTGACATACTGTTAGGCATTATTTGGCGGCGTCAGTCATTTATGTCTGACAGCACCAGAATCATACATGGCCTCGTCAGGCTGTTTAGACAGACATTATATTGAATTGTTAATCTCCATTTGGATCACGGCGCTTGATTTTGTAAGTCTAAAAAACCTGGCGGCGCCTAAATAAAATTCCAGGTATTGTAAATTAACCAAACATTTTTATTTCAAACTTATTGTATTAGCAAGAAAAACCAAACATTTTTATTTCAAACTTATTGTACTAACAAGAAAAAATAGATAACTTAGACACTATGATTTTTAATATGGCATTCTTGACACATCTCAGGTTTCCCATTGCATCCATCGCAATATGTTCGTACTTTTCTTACTTTTTTTCTTGCTTCTGTTAGATTGATATAGCAAAGTTTACATTGTTTTCGAGTTTTCTCCTCAGATTTTTTCAATAAATGTGCAACTTTTACAGTTGTTAGGCTGGTTATACTAGCATTATTTCCAAATAATAAAGTCCTGGCCACATCTTCTCTAAACTTATTTATGTTTGATTTAGATTTGGAATGTTCTTTGTATATATTGAATGCATTTACCATCGATATGCCCGTCAGCAACTCAAAAAATACCTTTCGGTACCATTTGACGCCTCGTCGGTTGCATGTACTGTAGGACGCCATTGGGTCGGACTTGTCAATACCACACTTGCCATTATTATAAGCAGTAATTGCGTCTGGTTTTAATGTTGGCGTTTTGTTTGTTTCTTTTTTCTTTTTTGGAGTGGGCTCCTCGTTACTGCAGCTTGGAGAAAATGCTCTCTTTCGTTTACTTGAAGGTGGCGGAACTCTCATGCCAATTCCGTCAGCTGTAGATAACAGAAGTACATCCCGCATCTTTCCATTTGGAAACGACGATCCCATCATTAGTTTCTCGCGCAATGTACTCATGTTTTTTAAGCTTCTTGGTCGTGACATCTTTTGGGAGGTATTTTCTGGACCGTCTAAGCGTACCTTCTAGATGTGTACTTTTGGTTAGAAGAATTCTGGCTAATGGACAACTAGTATAAAAGTTGTCAGTATACAGAGTTCTTCCTTCGTTCAATAATCCTTCAGTCAAGGTCAATACGACAGATTCACCAATCCCAAGTCCAGCAGGACGCTGTTCTTCACTACGGCCAGTATAAATTAGACATTTCCATGTATAACCATTTGGACTGCATAATTTAAAAAGTCTTACCCCGTATTTGTGACTCTTGGATGGTATGTACTGGCGAAATTTCAGTCTGCCTCTCCATGATATCATGCTTTCATCTATTACCATTTCTTTTCCAACTGTATAAGTCTGCTGAAAAGAGTTATTCCACATATCAAGAACAGGTCTGATCTTGTAGAGTCTATCATTGTTATTCTCGTGTTCCCTGCTGCTAAAATGAATCATCCTCAAAAGCATTTCGAAACGATTTCTTGATAATACCTGAGATACTTGATTTTTATATAATACATCGGTGGACCAATATGATGCAAGAGTAGGTCGACTATTTAGACCCAACCCAATATATAAACCAATAAATTTCTGAATTTCCAGTTTATTTGTAGGGTTCCATTGATTTAGTCTTGATTTCCGAGTTAGTTTTGTATTGGAAATTGTAAATTTCGCATAGCGGTTTGTTTCTTCCACTATGAGAGCTATTAGATCAGACGAAAAAAATAGTTGAAATGCATTGAGGGGTGTACAATTGTCTGCTACATCTACTTGAATACCTTCATTACCGGTGAATTGAAATGTTTGATGATTCCCATAGTCGTACCAAACAAAATCAAATTGCTTATTTGAGGGATCTAATGCTGTCGGCTCGGGTTCGTGACCTTCATCTGATGAACTGGATTCACCACTCAACTCGCTGCCAGAATTATTGTAATCGGGATCAACATCTGAGAAGTCGGAAAAATCACAAAATTGAAAAAATATCGTGTACTTCCACGCCGTGTCAGTCGATTCTGGAAATACCAACAAACGTGACGTATACGTGCTCAGTGCTAAATAAACACTGAATATGCATCATCCGACGTATAATCGTATCCCCACCATCCAAAACAACGCGCGGCGTGGCGACAATCGAATGCACGAAATGACCACGGCGCAAGTTGGGTTTTTGTTGTCAGTCGAAAAAGACTGACATGGCAGTCAGAGTGTTAAATTGATTTGAGGAGCCAGAAAGTTTTGCACCATATCACGATAGCGCTCGCGTGTGGCAGTAAGAGAATTGCGCACAGCGTCTTCAAAGAAGTAAGGTCCAATGACACCTCCATCCCAACACCGCACCAAACTATATCTCGACAAGGATGTAGTGTCGTTGATGGATGACGCGACGGTTCTCTAATATCCAGATATGACAATTCTGCTTATTAACAGATCCATTCATATCTAAGTGGGCTTCATCGCTCATTATCAGTTGTCGGTAAAAATTGTTATTTTGGGTAGTGAGCTGCAATGCTGCATGACTGTATTGTCGGCGACTTTCATGGTCACTAAGCTGTAGTTCTTGGGTTAACTGAACTCTGTATGGCTGCAATTGGAAGTCTTTTTTTAAAATAGTGCATAATGACGTGCGACGAATAACCAGTTCTTGAGAACGAGTCTGGTAGACGTCTCAGGGCGCTCCAATACACTTTCACGAACTCTCTCGATATTTTCCGGAGTACGAACAGTTCGAACATCTTGTCGTAGCTCCCGAATCGTTGCAACAATCGACTCATTATATAAGTAAAACCTTTTAACAATACGGACGCGTTGTGGGATCGTGTAGCGCTCCATGATGAATTGGACACGTGCTTTAAACAACTACTACGGCGCCACTTGCTGAAATGAGTGTATCAATAATGGCGCTTAATTTTAATTATTCAGTTATTTCTTGGCCAGCCTGTATAAGGAACTCGAATTAGATCATTGGATTCTGGGGAGCGTTTTTAGCCCCAAAGCTCCTCCTAATGAATACGTTAGTGGTGTAGACTTTAAGACTACTTTCATTAAAAACATTGTCAGTTTCGATATGAATATTTAATCAAAAAGTTATGTTTTCACTTTTCAGAGTACTACTTCAGGTTTCTCACGTTTAATATTTAGCAATTTCTGTTCAGATATTTAAAAATTAATGTCACTAATTGAACTGGTTACTTTCTGAAGTATGAACAGTTGATTTTAACAAGTGCCCTCTTGCGTTAATAATTATTCATTGTTTGAATCCATGGCAGAACTTCAGAACTATTTACACCAAATATGTATCCACCAAACTGGCCCATTACTAGATTTGGCGGATTCAATAATCATTTACCAGTAGATTGAATATGAAGTAGTTCTTATAGTGTTGGTACGACAGAAAAAGCAAAAGGCCTATTTCTCAGGCTTTGCCCCCCTGCCACTACTACTACATCAAATATTGATTGAAAATTTCTCACATGACTTGCAATGTAGTCACAAGCATTTTCAGCCATGTTGCTTGATTTGTTCTAATTGTATACCAAACCTTTCTTAATTAATTTATGTAAAACAAATCACTCACTCATTACGTGCCCTTCTCTCAACGTAAATATATTTGACAATCTTGATAAGTATTTGAGGTTGTCTACATGTTTAAACAGCTAATAATAATTGATTTTCAGTCCGTTTTTGTGTGTTTGTTGTATTTGTATATTTATACTTATTTTGGGATATAAATTTAAAAAAGATGTAAGAAAGTGTTCATATAGAAGTATAATTATTACTTATCAACATAGGTGCCTTATAACAACAAACAGGCAATATTCTAAACTGTTTTTCATATATGCTTGACTGTATAAATTGTATTGTACTTTTATAGTTAATAAAATTTGTGTTTTTTAATTGTGTTGTTATTTTTGTAGTCGCTAGTGTTTGTGTCGGCATCCGAAGATTAGTATAGTCCAGTACATCATACAGAAGATGAAGAAAAATGATGGAAAAACGATTCTGCTGGTCCTGTCTATTTGTTTCCACATTACTTTTTCTTTTCCATTGTCCTGCAAATTAATATACAGATTATTTGCCGCCAAATGACACTTTATATGAACGTTAAATACGCAATGCGCATTTTACTTCCAACCGACACTGGCGTGGAATTATTGTAATCCCGAAAAATTTCTAAAATGAGACTGTTTTTTGGTTGTTATATGTCATGTATATCAAAAAACAACATGTCGCTCAATTCCGTCTGACTGTCCGCTAATCCTCTACCCCGGTATAACTTTGAAAGTATCGGTCGGATTTTGATGAAATTTTTACACAAGGTTACTAATATGCCCAGGACGAAAAAACTTTGTACTTTTTGAAAATCGATCCACTCGCGGTGGAGCTAGGGACAAAAAAGTTTAAGAAATAAAAATCGCTCAAGCTAGTGTCCGACCGAAACTAGTATGTCAGTAGAAACCGGAATGTTGGTCCAATTTTAGTTTCGGCCGAAACAGAAACTTCCAACTCGGGATTATGATTTGGGAGGTAAGATAGTAGTGTATCTCCAAGAGAAAAATAAACTCGGTCTTTATCACTTAATATGAGTACTCTATATACTTCAATAATCACGCTATATGAAATATAAGACTTAAGAAAATAATCCTAAAACAGTACTACATGTATCTCTTAAAACAAATAAATAATGTCTTTTTGTTTCCAACGCTTTGTAAAAAAAGCAGACAATAAAGAAAAATAACAACTTATGAACTGTTGCACTAATTCTATTTAACTTTAGTGTAGACAGAAACCTAGGTTCATTTGAAGATTTCTATAGCACAAGTACTTAAACCCTTTTTAAAATTTTGTAAAATGTGTTTAACTTTAACGATAAATTTTTGGAGTTTGAAGATCGTGTAATTCATTTTTAGTCTTCAAAAATGGATTTTATTAGCCATGATGATATTTTAAACGATGGTTTGGGTATCCTTCAACTGATAGATAGTGGGCTTCTAGAAGAATTATTCAACAACAAAAAATATTTCCAAGAGATTAGTAGCTATGCTATTTTTTAGGAACTTTGCTTTGTACAGTTTTGAATATTCTTCCCGCGATTGAGCTTGAACTGGAATTCCCCAATTATTTGTGAGTTGTCTGCTACCTTCAATTACATAAAAAAGTCCCTGGATTTCTGTAGTCTTAAAAAACAATACAATTATTCAACATTTTCCCCTAGCAAATTTGACCTTTGGTCTGAATAAATTTGCCTGAAGTTATCCAAAAACATACGAACTTAGTTTAGGGGCCGTTCAAGTATTACATAAGCAGATTTATTACAATTATTTACCCCCCCATCCCCCCTGTCAGCAAAAGTAAGCAAAGCTCTTACCCCCTCCCCCATGCTTGCGTAAACATTTGTCAATTAATGTATAACGTTATAATTATAATTTGAAAAATAAGAAAATAGATTTAAGATAGAGATTATATTTTACTGATACGGTATTAAACATAGAGTAAAGGACAAAACTATTATATCTTACTAACATAACAAACTTATTTTAAATGTTTGGTACAGATATTAAATTCAAATTAGTCTTCAGTCCATGAAACCCGAATCCATGATTCTAAGTTTTCGATGACATTGGATTGCTTCGATTGCTGCTCAGTGTTGTGAGTTTGCTCGCTTTCATCGGATTTTGGAATGTCTACGTCGTTCTCATCGAGCCATTCAACATCATGGTGCTCTAAATTTTGAATAATGCACATCAAATCATTAGCACGACGAGCAGCGACTCTTACAGGTCTAACTTTCCTATCGGTGTGCGTGTTTACTTTTTTATGGATATTTAGTGACTTGACGGAAGCATGTTAAAGACCACACGTTTTGCATGTTCGACTTGATAGCCTCAATTTTACCGTCGGATAAAAATAATCGTAGGGCATTTGCAGGAATTCTTTGAGTGAAGCACTTAGCGTAGAACTAAATTGACTGGAAGATTAAGAAATTGCCCTCCTTCATCCAAAACCAAGTCATCAACTGTTTGTTTTACTTTTACAGGTGGTGGAAGAAACCTATTGTCTAGTAATCTAAATAGGCCACTTCTTGGACGATTGCATTCTGTATTTCTACATTTTACAATTTGAAGCAAGTATTGGCTCTCACGGACATGTTCTGAATACCATTTAATGTCTGGAAAATCAGGAAGATCTTGTTCACCTGCCCCAACATATTTTGCATTAACATTATAGCCATCAATTTCCATGGAACTCCATACTCCAGCTAATACATTTCCTGCAAATTCGAAATTAGATTTTTCTAAATGTTCATCAATTGTAACGCCACGTTCATCCAAAAGAGACCCAAAATGGTCATGAGGCAATATTTTACCAGCCAGTTCCCGACTAAGAGGTGCCATTCTGCGCTCTACCTTGTTATACGCACTTCTTCCAGGAGCATTGGTAGCTAAAAACAATGCATCGAGATCATGTCGCCTAAACTGTTGTATAGCAAACCCTATGACTTTTTGATAACGTGGATTTTCATCTGACCCTCCATCAACCGTCATGATTACCACTGGTTACTAGTCCTTGGTCAGGTTTAGCTAATGGTCGAAACTCTTCAAGTTCGAGAAGCGTCTCGAAATCCTGAGCATGAGTATTAGCAGTAGATGGACTATGCTTTTCACTTCGAATAGCGATGTATGTTGGTCCAAAATATCAAACGGCTTGCGGTTGTCATAGCATATTGGAAGTGATTTTGATACCAGCATAAACAGATGGCATTAATTTATGACGCTTAGCGATTACCCAATCGTGACCAGGCAATTTGATTCTATATTCCATGTGCATTAGATGAGGTGCTTTCTTATTTGCCGCAGTTACGCCAATAGAGGGACTCGAGCTTTATCAGCTTGAGATATGAAAAATACTTGATCTGGTCCAAGTATGGATGCTATGTTCTCTAAATAATGGATTGATGTTTCAGCGAACTTGATATCTAAGTGGCTCTTGTGGTGATTAGTTTGAGCACGAATGAGCTTAACAGGGACTGTCGATACATGTCTTCGTCCTGCTGCAGAATTAGATTTTCTGTTAATCAAACGAAGATATGTCCCACTGCGACTAATGTCAAATCCTATTTTACGTAATTCTTGTGTGAGTTCATCAAGAGTTTTTACGCTGATTCTGTTCGTCTTCTATCATCTGCTGCTCTCCCAAATAAAGCTACGAGTATATCCGCGATTGTTTTCAATAGTAAATGTCGATTGCTTTCAAGATTAGGACGTCCCACTGAATCCTTCAGAGATAGTCTTTTTTTATTTCTGGATTTCCATTACAAATATCTTCTAACTTTCTTTTCATACCATCCCTGTGTTTCTTCTGGGCAACTGCGTTTTGAACCTTCCCGTTTAAAGACTGTTTTGCTGTTTTTATTTCCTCGCGCAACTTAATGATCTGTTTATCAACTTCAGCACGGCTTCGCATAGTATCTCTGGCAGAATACAAAGCATTCAGATTTTTTCGAGTAGAGCAATCTTATTGTCCAAAGCTTCCTGAGAAGGTTTTGCTCTCCGTTTATCTGTATTTTCATTAATTTCGCATTGCTGTTGTGATTCATTAACGGGTTTTATTTTATCTTCTTCCTATTTTTTAATATTTGAAGCTGACTGTATAATTTGTTTTTTCTCCTGCAGGTTTACAGGTTGCCTAAAAATAAAAACTTTCTATGGCTTCTGCTAAAGATTCTCTTATTAAGCTACATAAATACAAAGTATGGCAATATATGTGGTAAATACAAAACCCTATGGCTTTAAATCTAATGTGTTTAAACGAGCAATTCATTCCGGTCACAAAATACAGGGTGTTAGTTTTCTGTATATATATATATATATATATATATATATATATATATATGTATAAAACTAACATCCTGTACTTTGTGACCAATTGACGGAATCAATCATAAGAAATATCTATAATATAATGAATATTACCTCTATACTTTGAGATAGGCCATAATATTTTCTAATCAGTAAAGAGAAACTTTTTGGCGATTTCTAATATTTCTAGTACTCATAGGTACCTAAAATGATTTCGTCACTCACCTTAGAAAAAAAATTTAGTAGATTGGATTTATTCTTAGTCGCCGCTTGCAATTCTTCTTCGATTCTCTTAGATACAATAATATCTAGTTCCTTGTCGGATTTTGCTTGTAATTTGTAATTTCGCCACGCTTCGTTAACTAACTTTTGTACATTTTGTACTTTCGTACTTGTATGAGATTTTTTAAAACTTTCAAACAATTTTTGGTATAACTTGGATTTGTCTATGTGAAACGACATCTTATTTAAACATTAAACTTTGGCTAATGGAATCAATGGTAACACAAATGCTAACTTGCTTTACTATGCTTACAATACGTCTACTCGCTATAGTATCCAAACGGAACAATACACTGATAGAAGAAATTTAGACAAGTGAACACCGCGCGGTAATTCCCCTACTCGGTTCTAATTCTGATTTTGTACCGAATCTGGCTGAAACCGAAAGCTCGGTCGGACCCTAGCTCGAGCTTCGTTTTCTGACCTTTCAGGGGATTCTGAAAAAAATTTTAGGGGTAGAAAAATGGGGGGTGGGGGAGGGCGTATCTCAACTGTCCTTGTGGTCGGCAGTTCACTATCATCAAAGGCCTACAAAATCATCGCATAAGATGAACCCAGCCCCCCGCCAGCATTTAAAGGCATGACGGTTGTCATAAGTGCAGCTTTTGTAACAGAATATCCTGGCACAAGGCTGCACACCAAGAGTACAACAGGGAACAGAAAATGCGTCTCTTTCTGCAATCTGGGCTCAACGCCCGGCGTAACGATCTGTTTTATTGTTCTGTTCGTTGGGCGCTGTCGCCTCTGGAGACATGGGAATAGACAACGTTGCCGGATGCGCGATAACTACCGGTAGGACAGGGAAAGAATGTATATGGGCCCGTTTAACCGACTCGGAGGGTTTAATTTGTGCTGAACTTAATCTTTTATGAACTGATGGCGCCGTTGCGTAGGAAGAGCAGACGTGCTGTTAAAGTAGTTGCTGTAGATACGTCGCTTAAGTAAAGAATATGATGGCGCTGTTTGCTTCATCATATCAAATTTGACGGAACGCAAAATATGCAATTAGTCAAAAGTGCAAAAGTAAAAGTTTACATACTGTTTTCCAATAAAGTTTGATGAACCTATCTTTGCCCATATGTCGATATCGAAAATGATGCACATACTTGGGAGGCGGTTGGTGAACCCACTGTGACAGAGCTGACTCCTGAAATTAATATTATTTGAGTTTAAAGATGTTAATTTCAATATCGCTGAACGAACCTGTGCTGTCATTTTAGCCTCTTTTGCTTTGAGCAAGTTATATTTCCCATATAATACTTTTACTATTACAAACTCTCCTAGTGCCGCAAAAACTGATATCATGCACCCAGCCATCCATAGATCAAGTGCCTGAAAATACGTATATTTATGTAATACACTAAATTTTGCAAACAGAATCAACATTCTTCTTTTCGGCTGATGAGAAAGTAAATTACTTGAATAGTTTAATTTTTTGAATATCGAGTTACAATGTTTTATGTTTAAATCATGCCACACAGTTACGTCGATATGTCTGTTGGCGTTATTATAGCCGCAGAATCTCAGTAACTGCTACACCGATTTTCAAGAAATTTTGGTTTTTCAAATCGACCCCAAATTAAGTTTTTGTTTTGCTTCACTGATCACTCTATTCGCCTGCTAAAAACTTCTCGCGCTGAGGTTGCTCACTAACCGTGAAACGATAAAATATTATTAGCTCAATAATTTTGGTTTAGGAAATTCGCTTTTGTTATACCTTGATATAGGCCACTGCTGGAATATCTGATCTTAGACCAGTGAACATGGTAACCAGTGTTAGAAGGCATGTAACCAATAGTGTTACCCTTGCTGGGATTGCATCCAGGTCCAGCCAAAAACTAAACCATGACAGTACCACCACTAGAGTCGATGGAGCAAAGGTTTGAATTAGATGGTGTCCGATTTGTCTCTCGAATCTGAAGTATACTACTAGCCTTGAAAAATTACCTAAAACATTCAAATTATCAGTGATGCTGGAAACCATTTGGAAAAACAGTAAATCGAAAGCAAAATTGAACAAACCAAATAAAACGCCTAGAGTCTAGACATAGCTCCAAAATTATTATTATTATAAACAAGAAATAGGTTTTCCTCAAGATTGCAGATGCGTAAATATTTTCGAAAATATTTGTTTGACATTTCCCAGTGCAAATTTTCCATTTTACTTCCCACTCCACTGACGAGGAAGTTGTGTAATCGCAAAACATTTCGAAAAAGATATTGATTTTTGGATGTTACTTGACATGTGCATCTCGAAAAATACGTCACTCATTTCCGTCGGTCTGTCTGTTCGCTAATCCTTGAACCCTATATAACTTGGAAAGTACCGGTCGGATCTTGATCAAACTTTGACACAAGATTACTACTTTGTCAAGGATAAACGAACTTTGTAGTTTTTGAAAATCGATCAAGTAGTGACGGAGCTACCCGCAAAAATGGGGACTTGGACTGTATGGGCGGATTTAACTGACTTGATCCATTGAATTTCTTCGATATACGTCTTTCTAAGAAATGCTATTTATGGACCGAGTTGCCAGGACATCAGTAACCGCTGACACTGACGGAATCATCAATATACAGGGTATTTCAGTTTATTGTTGCATAACTTTAAGATTCGATAAAACTATTAAAATTAATGCATAAAGTCTATATAAACATGGGTCGAAAAATGCGTGGCTTCCGAAATACAGGGTGTTTAAATTTACTTTCTAAATAGTTTTTTAAAATATTTCGAACAATATTTGATGTATAACAGTGAAAATTGGTATACAAGGGTTTTTTGCTACGACAAAACGAACCATAGTTTTACTGTAGCCTCTAGAGGGCGCTCTCTACTGTACCTGTAGTGTATTAAAATGACCGAAAAATTTTTATTAGTGCAATTTTTTGCTTTTTGAACAAAAAAAATTAATTCTTCGCACTTTTCTGCATAAAAAAGCTCTCCTGTGAGTTTTCGTTATAGTTAGCCGTTTTTGAGATATTTCGATTTTTAAGGTTCGATGCATTTTTAATTATTTATGGGAAAATGATATTTTTTTTACATTTTCGATTTGAGAATTACAAGTAATTAAGATGATCGTTTAGATTGTGTTTTTAAACACAGCAATAATTCCTAACTCCAAATAAACACAAAAAACAGCATATTAATTTGTTTAATTTTCCAATATTATTTTTAACAAATGAATTGAATATTGGATGCTATTGGATAGTTAGGACAAACATACAAAATCTAAAGTAGTTGCTCGAAATGTAAACAATATAATACACAATTCACATCTACTAATGATCGAACGTGGTATAGCATTATTCAAATAAGGCCTTATTTCATCACATGCATTCCTGATTCTGTCTATTAGCATATCTCTTGTGGTTACGGGAGTCTGGTACACTTTTTCTTTTAGAAATCCCCACACAAAGAAATCTAATGGATTTAGGTCAGGGGATCATGGAGGTCAGGCGACTGGTCCTCCACGGCCGATCCATCTTTCTGCATAATTTTCGTCCAGCTAGTTTCTAACTATTCTAGAATAATGAGCTGGACAACCATCAAGCTGGAACCAGGCCAATCTTCTTAAATCTAACATAACATCATCCCACATATTTGCATGTTCAGCCTTTAAAAATTCCAAGAAGGTCGCAGCATTTAACCTTGCAGGCAAAAGGTAGGGTCCAAATAGTCGATTACGGTAGATACCAATCCACACGTTCACACTAAATTCATGCTGAAAATTTCTTTCCCGAACTGCAACTGCAAATATGTTGATTATGAAAATTTACCACTCCACGTCTAGTGAAGCATGACTCATCGGTCCATAAAACGTTACTTAAAAACTCCCTATTATTATCAGTTCTATCAAGAATCCACTGACAAAATGTGATTCTTCGTTCTCCGTCCTCTGGCTGTAGTCCTTGCACAGGTTGCAAATGGTAAGGACGTCTATGGTCATTTCTAAGAACACGGTGAACATGGCTTGCTGAAATTCCTAAGGCACCAGAGACTCTCCTAACACTTGTGGTCGGATCTCTATCATACTCACGCAGAATCATATGGGTAAATCTGCGCTGACGAACATTTATGTTTTGATTCCTTCGGAGATTTCCAAAACCGTTTTCAATTATTTGGCGATGCACTCTTACAAATACTGAGGATGTCGTCTGTTTGGAAATCTTCGTGCGTATTCTCTGGCTGTGTCTGCTGCGTTTCCATTTACAAAGTCATACACAAAATGAATATCTGCTAACTCTTGATTGGAGAATAAAAATGGCATTTTATAAAAAAAAAACAGGTAAAAGAAACTAAATTTCGTGCATTCACAATTGCAAAAAAACGTTTCAGGTTTCAACAGACAACAAAACTAACTGTCAACTAATTGACGTTTAACCTTATTCTGCTTTCAATTTCAAAAATATTTGCAGGCACACCCTGCTTCTAAAAATTATCGAGATACTGACTTTTTAACGTTATTTGATCATAAATAATTAAAAATGCATCGAACCTTAAAAATCGAAATATCTCAAAAACTATAACGAAAATTCACAAGAGAGCTTTTTTATGTTGAAAAGTGCGAAGAATCAGTTTTTTTATTCAAAAAGCAAAAAATTGCACTAAGAAAAAATTTTCGGTCATTTTAATACACTACAGGTACAGTAGAGAGCGCACTCTAGCGGCTACAGTAAAACTATGGTTCGTTTTGTCGTACCAAAAAACCCTTGTATACCAATTTTCACTGTTATACATCAAATATTGTTCGAAATATTTAAAAAAAAACTATTTTAGAAAGTAAATTTAAACACCCTGTATTTCGGAAGCCACACATTTTTCGACCCATATTTATATAGACTTTATGCAATTTTAAAAGTTCTATCGAATCTTAAAGTTATGCAATAATAAACTGAAACACCCTGTGTACTGATCGTGTTTGATTCGCCTTTTGAACATTGTGTGGAAAGTGCAGAGTTGACCTACTTGACGCCATTTTTTGTCTTCCGTTGTTCTAAGTGGTTGTAACGATTTACCAGGATAACTTGGGGAGTTGGTTACGAATATGACCTTCAAAAAGTTCTAAAGTGAGGCGAAGAACTATTTGGAATAGGTATATTGAACTTTTCTGGGCTCCCAACAATTTCTGTGAAAATCTGACATTATATTGGTGATCCACGCACCTGATTTATCTAGAAAACAGACGATAGTCGAGATTGGAGATATGTAAAAACTTTTGAAAATTTCCTCTACTTCTGAACTTTACGTTTGTAAAAGCCAAAATTTCCAGTCTCCCGTTCTTCTAAGCGGACATGGGTTGGTAACAGTGGCATATACTAGTATATAAGATCTTGGGTGGGGCATGTCTCGGCAGGGAGGGGTGCGGGGTGGCCGATATTGTGATGTCTTCAATTGGATTTTTCAGAATTTCTGAGTTTCGGGCCACAAAAATATCGAAAGCAACGTCATGTTGCCCCTAAATGAAAACTTGCTTCTTGCTGATTAACGTGTGGAAATTTACATAGTTTTATACTTTCAACGTGTAGAGTGAAAATAAACAAACTTTAATAGATACTGTTAGATCTCTCGAAATTCTGGGGTTTTAATACTGCGAATAAGTTGTTTGTCCCTTAAACAGTTCGTAAATATCATAACCGTGCTTTTCTGCAGCAAGAACGTAAATACGAAATACATGTATTTTTCAGTACTTTCGAGCAGACGTGATTCATAAAATATTGGAGGAAAGTTGGTAAGTAAATATGGACAACCCAAATACTTATTTTCTTGTTTTCAAGAGGCAAATTATTACCGTACCTTTCCATGTATTTAATAAAATATATATTTACTTTGAAAACCTTTGAAAATGGGTTGAAAAATTAGAGAGTACCATCTACGAGTTTGAAAAATCATACACAGAGTCACACATATACAGGGTGGCCGATATGTAACTGACTGGTCTGTATCTTGAATACTTGTGAAGTGAAATAAAATACGTCAATTTTTTTCACCTTAATCTTTTATTCAAGCTCAGAAATTATGTATGATAAAATAATATCAGAAACATGTCCGCCTCTAGAAGCCGCGCAAACCTGAGCCCTCTTGATTATTACATTTTCAATCACTTTTTGATAGGTTTCGGGAGAAATATTCTCAATCGCTTCCGTAATATTGTTCTGACATTATCAAATTGAGAAATTAAACGTCGCGGAAATATTGTTCGCAAAAGATTCATTGTTTTCCTAGCTGTGTGACAAAGTGCTCCGTCCTGCTGAAACAACATGTTTTGCAGGTTAAATTGTTAGATTTGAGGAGCCAGAAAGTTTTGCACCGTATCACGGTAGCGTTCGCCAGTGATAGTAAGACCTTCAGCGTCGTCAAAGAAGTAAGCTCCATACCAAACACCGCATCAAACTGTGACTCGACGAGGTTGTAGTGGTCGTTGATGGATGAGACGAGGGTTTTCTAATGTCCAGATACGACAATTCTGCTTGTTAACAAATCCGTTCATACGTGCTCTTCATCGCTCATTATCAGTTGTCGGTAACAATCTTTATTTTGGACATTAAGCTGTAATATTGCATGACTGTATTGTGGGTGACTTCCATGGTCACTAGGCTGTAGCTCTTGGGTTAACTGAGTTTTGTATATACTCGTATATTCAAAATAGTCTCTCGATATTTTCCGGAGTACGAACAGTTCGAACACGGCCCGATCTTCAAGTCTTCAACTTCACGTATTTGTTAAAATTTTTCACTGGGCACATTATTTCGACCGAAATTTTGTCGTTGCTCCCGAATCGTTGCAACAATCGACTCATTATTTAAGTAAAACTTGTTAACAATACGGACGCGTTGTGGGATCGTGTAGCGCTCCATGATGAATTGGACACATGTGCTTTTAACAATTACTACGACGCCACCTACTGAAATGCGAGTACCAAAAATGGCTCGCAATTTGAATCAGTCAGTTATACCATATAATGGCCACCCTGTATCTAATCACAAAACAAGAAAAAAGACAGACGACGATTTACACTTTGAATCCTCCCTTACGAAAGTTCTAGCTGCATTCGTCACGGCGAAATAAATGTTCACCTAAAAATTGGCAAATTCGCCCAAGAGGTGATCAGGAATATTTTGTACCGCTTGGGGGGAGGGGGTTTAGCCACACCCCTCATATATGCCTCTGGTCGGTGCACTGTGCAAACTGGAATGCTGATTTCAAATACAACCATCAAAAATGCTACAAATGAAAGAAACTGCAAGATCCCATACTAAGTATTATCAATGTGGGTACGAGACAATATCTTGATACATACCATTTTTTTCGTTTGTATATTCATGTGTCTCACTTAAATGTAGTGGAAGAATGTTATACTGTAAAAGTTTAAGCTCTGGGCTAAGCGACACACCAGCTCCAGACCATTTGAGTATCATTTTGTTGTTATTGTAGGAAACTGAAAAAATAATATGTATATTATTTAGCGTTATGATTCAAAAGTTTATTTTTCACTTACAGCTCTCTACTGCTATTGGACAAACTTGGGTGTCCATTGGATAATGTTGAAATTCCATTTGGCATGCAACTATAGCATGCATCCTTGCGGCATACCTTATCGTCTTATTCTTAAACAACGTTACCGATGAAAATTTGTGTGTTAATGTTGCGATCTCTGAAAAACCATAGTGTATATTCTGTAATTTTGTTCACAGTACAATTTACCAACAACTTTTGAATTGAGAAAATATAAGTCGGGTTGCCACAGATTTTCGAAAAACTGCGAAGGTAATGTTATTGAGTCGTCTCCGTAATCGAACATTTCTTCTGGTATTTTCAATCTAGCATCTTGCCATTCTTGTTTCAAGAACATGTCCATTCTAGAAACCAATACATATATGAGCAAGCAAATGAACGATTCTTATTAGATGTGCTGCTTTATTAGGTTCTGACAGAAAAGACAGACGTGCCAGTGCACCAGCCTCAATAGAATACCACGTTCAAAACATAACTCGTATAGTGACAGTCCTTGTTGCGCTGATTAAATGTCCCAATAGGCTCAAAGCCTGGTTCTGGCAACAATGACAAGTAGGTTATATTGCAAAGGGTGGCGAGCACCGACTGAGAGGAATTAAAAACTAAGTTAGTTTGTTGCTGTAAACAGTTGTGCAGCTTTCGAATGAAGAATATTATCTCATGACTCCAACATAGAACTTCTAAAGTCACCAATGTCACATATTTTCAGCAGTTTACTAACCTAGTTTTGAATTCTCTTGATTGGTGCTCGCCGCCCTGAAGTTGCATCTCTTGTCTTTCACAGGACATCATTAACGATTCTAAGTGTATACTTAAGCATAAATACTGTACACACTAGTTTAGGAATACCCTGTATATCGCTATTCCTTTTGGGAATGAGAAATCTTACCGGAAATCCATATCCTCAACGTTGATAGAGTTAATATCCACCACCCTCATGCTGAAATCAATTTCAATCGGGCTTCCCCGCATAGTCGGCGGTCTGATTTCTAGGAAAGAAATAAAAGGTTCTAACTCGGAAACATAGTGGAAAACAATCGCAGTTCTTACCTTTTATATAATTCTCTGGAATTATACTTTTGGTTTTGTTTTGAGAGTCAGGGTTACGCGGCTTTGGTACGAGCCCGTAACTACCAAGCACTGATGAATTTCTGGAAAACCACATACAGATTTTAAATGATGATTTTGATGGAGAAACTAACTAGATGCGAGTTGAAGCTTATTATTTTCACGTTATCTGCATCTGTGACTCAGTTCAATGTGAACGCCTATGCTTTGCTGACGACCTAAAAATTTATTCGCAGATAAATACTCCTGATAATTGTATCAAGCTACAACACCAATAAAATTTTGTGCTGTCTTGGTGTGTAGAAAACAAGTTGGAGCTTAATATGACGAAGTGTAAAATAGTCAGCTATACCAGGAAAATTAATGTTTGCGAATATCCGTACTCTATTGATGGGTCTGTGCTAGAAAGATGCTCTGATGTACGTGATTTAGGTATAATCTATGATCAAAAGTTAACTTTTAGTCAGCATATAAATAAAAAAGCATCAGAAGCATTGGCGGCTTATGGTTTCATAGTAAGGAATTGCAGGAATTTTCATAACATAAAGTCTATTAAGCTATTATATCATGCTTATGTTAGATCCAAATTCGAATATTGTAGTATTATTTGGAGCCCTTACTATGAATGCTATTGTACAGCTATTGAAAGAGTACAACGGAAGTTTATCAAGTTTGTTCTGTTTAGGATTGATGGGACATATCCAGAGAGAGGTACAAGTAATGAGGAACTATGTAGTCGCTTAGACATGTTGACTTTGAAAAAACGTAGGTACTGTGCCTCAATAATATTGGGCTACAAAATGATCAACAATTCAATTGATTGTCCCATGATCCTGGAACAGATCAAGTTTCGTACTCCAACGTTTGCATCTCGCAATCATAAAATATTCGGGCTTCCTAGAGCTAGGACAAACATTCTTCTCAAGTCACCGTTATATGTAATGTGCTCTAACTTAAACAGAATTGGATGTTACTGTAATATATTTACGACAAATGTTAATTACCTGCTAAAGGCAGCTAAGGCTTATTCGGACCAATAGCTCATGTTACAAATTTATACCTGTGTTGCATTTGTTGTTTTCTTTTCGCTTTTTTTTGCTTTTGTATTATGTTTATAAAGTGTCCTATAAATGGGAAATTGTTGGACAATAAAGCTATTATTATTATTATTATTATTATTATTAGCGTGGCACCTCGTGGCACATATTTATATTTTGTGCCCTTCGCATTATGTGAAACTTTAGACAAAGTTGACGACTCGTATGTTAGAAGGTCCAGATTCGCAATAGGTGTTGTAAAAACTGTCTAAACCTCTAATAATTCCAAAGTATCGTTTCAATCAAGTACCAATCTCGATAAGAAACATAAGTGTTGCCATAAGTTTGTGGTGTGGTAAAACTCTGCCTCTTTTTTTTCGTTTCCTTTATTTACACACTTTTATTGATGTATTCGGTGATTGTCGGCCTTGCTAACCCTGATCCATACTCATACTTTTATTGCTGTTTTCGGTGATTTTTGGTTTTGCTAACCCTGATCCATACACAGAATCTTCATTTTCTTGAAAATAGGCTTTTGGCCGTTTTTACGAGATTTGACCAGTGTGCTAACTGGATGACATGTACTTTAACATTTTATTTTTTCAACAAGATAAGGTCACGAATTATACGACGAGGGAAGTTTTGGTTACAGACGTGTTTTCCCGATAGACGCGTGATTTCTCGCAATGGAGTGATGACCGCCAGCCTTCGAGATCATGACAATTATCCCCGCTTGACATTTATGGAGTTTTTAAGGGATAAAGTGTTTTCAAGCAATCCACACAGGATTGATGAACTGAAGAAAAACATTTTTCATAGTGGTGAAATTGAGACGGCAATTGTACCAATAGGTTGCTGGAACTTTTGGTCGAAGAGTGGTCATCTGCAGAAACTGATGAGGGGTGATGCATTATTTATAAACCAGAACTTCCATACTTCTTAGTTCCAATGATGTAAACAAACATGATATTTTTTCCGAAATTGTTGCTTATATTTAAAAGCACAAATCTCAGAGTACCTATTTCAACTTCTCTAGTTCAGATCGGCAAGATGTCAACTTAGAACTAGTTCACTTGATGTGCACTTATTCTGTAGCTATACGTGTTGCCTAAATATCATCACGCTTCAGCTATTAATGTTTGGCTCTGTTGTGATGTAACGTCTACTTCCGAGATGGAATTATTGGAGGTCTAAGCTGTATGTTGTAGCCAGGATTTGTGAGTTAATAATTTGTGTTGGTGTTAATCCCCTTACTTGCTTGCCTGAAATACTCTTACTCGAAGTTTTTGAAAATGCAATAAACCGGTGAAAATTGTAATTTATAACTTTGAACATAAAGTCTCATCAGAAGGGACAACACAAATGACCGGTCTGTTACAGCTAATATGTATACTTGCTAGGTACTCAACCAATTTTCTTCCTGTCACATCTTCTCAGAGATATACTCTACAGACTATCTCGGCATTCTGCAACCAACAAAGCATGCTGGGGAACTGACTTGCAGCATGATCATTGGACGTGTCGTTGAGTCATTCCTCAATAGATAACGCTTTTGGAGTCGCTCACAGCGCGCGTAGCGAGCAAACGCGGAATGAACTATTTGTACACTAGGAACTATCTAGTCAGCAAATAGAAATTTTGTCGTTTTACATTATATAGGTTTTTTACGGCTCTGGACAAAAAATGGTAAGATTTAGCTGGAGACCTCGGGTCAGTCTAACATTCCAAACTAACGGGTCAATATTTTTGGCGTAGAGGACTAGAAGTCGGCTCTAACAGAGTGATGTTTCTTAGAGGTAGCATCTGGATCTAGTGGAAGGTCACGACCTTTTCATCTAAATCGCGTTGCGGAGTTGATTTTTTCTTGATTTTTCCGTGTTTCAGCCAAAACTTTCAGGGATGCTTGCTTAATCATATTATTGACGATGACACCCTCTGAGTTGGTCTTGGATTCTCAATATGAGGGGTCGAGATGAAGATCTTTGAACCCGTCCTTTTATTCCATTCAAGATTACTTGCTAATTATGAATGATCTTGAACTCATACATTTTAGGCCCACTTAAGCGACATCCTTGGAATGAAAGTAAAGTCAAGAGGAACTTTGTAAATAACAGTGGAGTGCAAAACGCTCTCAGTATAAAGGTTAACAGGATTGACGGACAAAAAATTTAATGAAACAATACTTACAGTATACTAAAGGTGGATATCCATTTCAAAATTAACTTCGCATCCATTTCAGCTGGGTTTTACACTGTTTACCAACTAGAATCTGCTTGAAATATCTATAAATGACTAAAACATATAGAAATTCGCACCGCCCCGCAATATATTACATCACAGATATTCACTAAAAAAATTTTATAATTGGTGCTTTGTATTTACCTCATTTTTTAAGACTAGTGCTGACATATCGTCTCGGTGACTCAAGATTTAGGAAGAATTAATAGGGAAGAAGCTTATCATGAGCTCTACAGTGTCGTGCACAATGTGGATTATCCAAGTTTTACTGTTTAAACATTTCATGAAAGGCTCTAGAAATTTTCTTCGCAAAAAATTGGAGCTACATTTATTACAGGTTAAGTTGTCGAATTTTAGAAGCCACGAAGGTATATTGCGGTAACGGGCGCCAGAGCCTGTGCGTGCCATTGGATTTTACGTTTTCTGTCCAATTAGGTGTAGTTATTTGGCCTCCAAAACCACCAGATCTAACGGTGGTGGTTTATGTGGCGATTCTATGAAAAAGGCTTATGCCATCAATCCAAGCACTACCTAGCAGCTGAAAAGCAATCTTCGGGAAGCTGTTCAAAATGTTCCTCTCGAAACTCGTAACAAAAACTGACAGGAAACGCGATCAAGAGGGCTGACGTTTGCACGGCAAAAATGTGCATTTATTTGATATTATCTTTTATGCTTCATAAGTAACTCCTAACTTTCTATAAAGGTTAAGCTAAAGAATGGATCTATTCCATTTCGTTATAAAGATATCAGAGAAATATTTGTAAGTCAGTGAGGTAAATATTGCCCACCATATATCATTGTCGGACTTGGAGAAGGCGGCGGCTTCTTCATGGACGGCCAAGCCTGTAAAATTTTTCAATAAAATGGTATACCGCTTGTTTCAAATACGACTCTCATCAATGAAATCTCGGGAACGGCAAAAGTCACGAAGTCAGTTAAGCGGGGGAAAGATACGCAAAATAAGAAAATGACACTCTGATAGCTTCGCAATTCAGAGTATTACCGAAAAAGACGAAAAGAAAAATGAATTATCTCAAAATCGGTTTATTTTGGCTGACATTATTTGAAATGGGATTTATATTTTTATCTGCACACTAACATCGTCACTTTTTCTCTTCAGCAAGGTGGCGTAATTGGAATTTCAGTTCGACGTTTCGTCTATTGTCCCCAATCAATTTTTTCTTATGGACGCCAGGTATGCTGATGAGTTGCCAAATAGCACGAAACAGCTGTCCATGGTTGGCTGTCTGTGGTCGGACGGACGAAAGTTAGTTTGTTTAATGGCGAGTTGACCGTATCTACTACATCCCAGAATTGACGGCATCTAGCGGCCACAGTGGTGACCCGATTGTCAAATGCGAAATGGGATACAATCAGCTGTTTCACCCTCACAGTGGTCGATTCTGGTGATAGATGGCGCTGTGTACGGTCTTATTCGATAGAGTCTATGATAAAATTAAGATCCAACATTCCAGACACACCGATAGACGCCACTGAGATCATTTTCTTCGCTCATCACCAAATGTTCATTGTATTAGCAACAGTTTTGCTTTGGAACATTAACACATCCGTTTATAAGAACGCTCTCTTGTGATCTTTTAATGACTGGGTAATTTTTAATAAAACGCTAAACTTCCATTCCACAAGGTATAATCATTCTCATTAGGAGGGATCAAACATTCTTAACGAATTTCTGGAGGGACAAGATTATGACGTGCGTGACAGCATCACTCGACAGTGTTTGACATATAGCTCACGTGACCATTTATTTGTATTGTCAGAGCGGCACGGGTATCAGGTATCTTGAAAAGTGACATTATGCTGTTTTTTTGACATTATGTAGGTTATTCTACAAGATGTTAACTTAGCACTCAGTTGTACATGTTGCCTAAACTTCATGAGGCTTGTTATCAATATTTGTCTCTGATGTGATGTACAATCTGCTTCTGAGATGGCATTACTGAAGGTCTAAGCTGTAAGTTGTATGTGTTGATAATTACATTGGGTTCTTGTCTCAAATACTCTCAGTTGCGTATCCACTTTTTCTTATCCATTCTGGAAATTACATATACAAATTTGCTGAATTTAAAAATGAGAGAGATAAGAAATAATTATAATCACTGTACACTGTCGAATTAGAAGCCATATACATGCTAACAGTAATTACACAGAACGCGGGCGCGGTGATGATTTCCCGTAATTCTGCTCAGTTTTTCGTATTTTATAACTTCGAACATAACCTGTCTTCAGAAAGCACAACATATAAATAACCCGTCATATTCGGCATATTCAGTAATGATTTTCTCACACAGCAAATATCACTGATTTTATACACATGCTGACCAATACACATAATCATCCAGATGCGATCTTGCTATTAAACCAACTTTCTTCTCAGAGATTAAAACTACAGACCCGTATCACTCAGCCACACAAAACTATGCAACCAATAATACGTAGTTTAGTTGGGTAATTCCTCCATAGATGGACGTTCACAACGATACTAGTGAGCAAACGTGAAATGACTGTTTGCACCCTAAAAACTACCTAGTCTGCAAGTTGACATCTTATAGGTTTTTTTGACGTTTATAGGTTTTTTACATGATATATTATATAATAAAAAAAAGTGTTTAGTTTTTCACAAGTTCATAGAAGATAGAGTAACACAAAATAAACAAAGCATTAAACACAAAATAGTTAAGAAGGCACGACTTATTAAGCCCCAGTAGTGAAGCCGTATTTTTGTATTTGTCTGCTGAACAAATTTGTTCCAAAATATCGGGTCTTGTTTTTAGATAAGTGTGGAACTCAGTACATGTTTTATTTATATTTATCTTCGGCGACACTTAACTGTGTTTTATCACTTGTCCATATTTTGTTCATTTGAGAGAGAAAAAAAAATACTTTCGACAGGTGCGTTACCTTCATGTAGGCACAAAACGTACCCAATAACTGTGGAAAAGTTTGTTAAATGAAGATTGTTGCTACCGAAGTGCTGGAATAACTCGACCCACGGTTTTCATTAGAAACATCCTCGGCATACCAGCCAGCGATCTTTTCATCTGCCGCAAAGTTGGAAAAGAGTGAACATTTTAAATTATCGTTTGGTATGTTTGCAAAATCGGGACTATGTCGGCCTCGCTGGGGACCCCGGAACAGTTCCGACCAAAGCAGGACGTATGGCCACGTTACATATAACCTCATTAGAGTTGTGACGCTTCGAACTGACCCGTTCCGATTGAACGAATCCCGTGGTGCATCCGTTCGGACCGAATCCGACCTCTCAGTCCAATCGGCAGGGGTATTATGTAAAAAACCTAAAAACGACAGAATGTCATCTTGCAGACTACGTAGCTTTTAGTGTGTAAATAGTTCATTCCACGTTTGCTCGCTATGATCGCTGTGAGCGTCATGAAAAGCGTCCATCTATGGAGGAATTACTCAACGACACGACAAGCTCAAGCGTGCATTGTTGGTTGCAGAAAGCCAATTAGTGTTTATCTCCGAAAAGATGTAAAAGAAAGAAAGTTGGTTGAGTAGCAAGATCGCATCTGGATGATTATGTGAGTTAGTCTGCATGTGTATGAAATCAGTGATATTTGTTATGTGAGAAAATTATTACTGAATACGCTGAGAATGAAGAGTATATCTATTAGCTCGACGGGTTGCGTTCAAATATATAAATTACGACTTTTCCCGTTTTTTTTTTTGGGTTTTCAAAAACTTTGAGGAGAATTACGGGAAATCACCACCGCGTGTGTGTGTAATTATTGTTAGCATGTATAAGACTTGTATTTCGACAGTGTACAGTGAATATACATAATTGGAATATGTGGCAGTATGTAAGCATAAAATATAAGATTCCACATAAAGATAATTAGATCACCAACCAGTGATTTCTCATTTAAAAAAGCAGCAAATTTGCATAGGTATGTAGTTTCCAGAATAAACAAGGAAAATTGGATGCGCAACTAATTTCTAGCTTTGATTACATCTCAAGTAAGTGTATTTGAAACAAGAAACTAATGCCATTATCATCAACACAGTTTATTAGTACATAAATCCTCACTATGCACCAATGCTAAGAAGTAGACATCTAGTAGAAAAACCTACGTTATGTCACAAAAAACCTATAAATGTAAAAAACGACAAAATGTCACTTTTCAAGATACGTAATACCGTGCCTACTGGCTAGGAAGCGTTATGAAAGCGCAAGCTCCCGTAGTAATTCTTTGTTGCGTGCCGCAGTGGACTATACTCCAGCTCAAGTATCTAAACATAAAAGACCCCGTCTCGCTCTCTAAATTATAAATCTTCTGGCAATACTCTAACCAAAATAAGCACCTCTCGGAATACAAATTAACTAAATTTCTTTCTTATCAATTTATTCTATTGCCCTTTTTTCTCCCCTTTCTCCTTTTCTTCCTTTCTTTCGTCTTCATATACCTTCTACTTAATAAAAAATCTCCCCTGGCTGGGCTCAGGAAGATTTAAAAAAAGAAAACATCTTTCTGCCAGACAAAAGACAAGGTCCTGCAAACCGCTCAAATAACGACGAGACGATACCGAGCCAGTCCTATGGAACGAAAATACAAAATTGTATGCTCCGTTTGTTCATCGGTTCTGTGAACCATACGATACAGTATGTTCGTAGAGATTTACATGAACAATGAAGTGGTAATCATTTGGTTTAGAGGTTTAGACTGTTTATATGATACAAAATGTTTCATATAGAACAAAAAAGTAACTGTCATACCTACTATATTTAAATCATTTATCAGCCATGGTAAAATGGCGGTGTTGGAATCACTCAATATCTGGCAACATTGCGTACCGATTTAAATTGGTCCGGACCAGGGTTGCCAGGCGAGGCGATTTTTCGCCAAAGTGGCGATTTGACGTCTTCAAATTGTGACTAAAGCGGATAGCTTGGCGATTGGCTACTTGGTGCCTAGTATTAAGTAAATTGGCGATGTGTGCATATATTAATAAAACATAAAAAGTGGATGAGTGGAACTTCTGTGCTCTAAGCACAATGACGTTTATGGTCAAATGTCTTGTCAAGGTGTTGTGTTTCGAGCATACCAACGACATCCCATTCTAAAACTTTTGACAGTGTTACTAGATGTACGACTGCTACCGTTTTTGTACGATAACCGGGAGAGAGAGACCCCAAGAGGTCACTAGGAGAAGGTCAATACGCATAAAAGTCTTGTCCTCCCCGCTCTTCAATTTTCAACTGTCGGTAACCCCCCGATCCGTGACAATTACATTTCAATCTTTAACCCGGTATATTATGGTCAGTCTGTAAGTTGACTGGTACGTGAGTCGGACGAAACGAGACTAACGGCTCCGATGGAACGAGATCGACAATGGAACGAACCCAGTGGAACCGAATCCTTTAATGGACCTGGACCGCCCAACACTAAGCCCCATTGTTGAACATTGTTGGGTAACGTTATCGCACGACACAAATCGCGCACATAGATGAGCGATAACACTATGGCATTAGTAGGTAGTTAAAAAGGTTCACAATTTTGTCAAAATAAAAGGAACATGGGATATGTTTCCCCCCACCTCCTACAACACCGATTTTAACCCCTACAAATTTTTTTCCGGTAATGATCAAGATCCTCTGAAGCGCCAAAATCAAGGTTTGAGCGATTTTTTTTTGTTCTTTGCCTTCACGCCGCCTTCACTGGACCAATTTTCAAAACTAGATTTCTCGTCCTTAGCATAGTAGTTATCCCGTGTGAAGATTTTCTCAAAATTACTTTAAAGTAAAATAAAATCTGACAACGCCGCAATGCCAGACGCAAATTACGACGGAACGCAGTGCAAATAAAGATGGAGCTTGTTATTTTTGGCTCTGAGGTATTATTTCATTATTTGATAATGTACTCGTAAAATGCAAACAATTAAAAAAAACAGACTTACCACTAACTGTCTCACCTGGGGTGTGAAAGTTTATTGAACGTATTAAAAAATCCACTTATAAATAGGGAATACAATCTTGATGCATACATTGTTTTTCTTTTTAAAACCCGCACTGCACTTTTTTGTATTTAAAGAAGGTGTCCAAAATGTCGGCTTCCACTTCCCACACAAGCTTCATTACGACGAACCTAGTTTCTTCTTACTCTAGGTCCTCGAAGTTGTCCATTTATTATTTCAGTCGCATTAAAAATGTTTTCGCGAAGTTGTGCTTCAGTTGTTATTGGACCATAAATCATCCCTTTAAGTTCTCCCCAATACCAGAAATCCATCGGATTGAGGTCAGGAGATCTTGCTGGCCTATTTCGAGGATCAGGAGCATTTCGACCGATCCAGCGATTTGGATAATGTTCATTCAAATACTGAATGACACCTCTAAAAATGTGTGATGGTGCAGCGTTATGAAGAAACCACAAATTCTGTCTCCGTTGTAATGGCATGTCGTCTAAGGTCTATTCCAAAAGTTCTGGTAGGTTATTGTCTGACAACTTTGGGGGTAACTCGAAAGGAAAAATTACCTGATCGTCAAGAATACCCGCCCACATATTTATTAAAACGTTGTTGGAAATTACCTTCACGAATGGTATGAGGATTTTCTTGGGCCCACGTGTATTATGGAAATTTAATATCCTGTCTCGCGTCCGTCGCTAGAATGTTTTTAAAAAAATCCGGATTTTCAATGTTTTTGTGCAAAAACCACTGACAGTTAGTCTACGAGGATAGACTTCTGGTAACAAGACCTGCACTCGTTGAACATGGTAGCGATAAAGTAAATTTTCCCGTAGGATTCTATGGACTATGGTATGCGAGACTCCTACGCGGCGGTCTAATTCCCGAGTGCTGATATCTGCATTGATTTCCACGATAGTTAAAATTTGTTCCTCCTGCTCTACAGTAACCTGCATTTCACGAGTGCGAATATTAGTGCGCTGAACACTTCCTGTATCTCGAAGTACACTTGCACAAATGTCCTTCTGTCTGGGTGTACCCGTTGACGAAATCTGTCGCGATAAATTTGAGCTGCAAGATTTGAATTCCGACCAGCTTCACCGTAAACTAACAACAGGTCGGCGAACTCTTGA